ACTCAATTTGATTGCATGGTCAGACTTGCACTGATTGAGTTAAAACATGTTTTTCCCCCACACATGGCTACTGTGTTTCAAATGATAGATTTTGCTTCTGGTTTGGGGAACATTGTTTAAAAAGTATTGAAACGCACCACTTCATTGACAATTAATCAACATACATTCTCAAAACTAAGTTAGCGGTATACGTTTGACTTTGTGCTGTTTTTGTTCATTATTAAATAACATTATGATTGGTATTTTGATAAAATATTTAAATCACAAGCATATTTGTGGTCTTTGCTCTCGAGTTCACAGTGTTTTTTTTCATTCAGGTTATTTCTCTTTACAGTACAGTAATATTCTGCACTTCTGAAATATTGCTGCATAAAGGCTTGTTTGGAGTTTTTGTGACTATTCAGGGTCTGCTCAAAGTAATTTGTTAATTGACAAGTTTATAGAGTCCATCTCATTGTACCCAGTTTATCAAACACTGTACATATTGGCACCTACAATTTAGGGAAAGTTTAATGAGCCCTCGGACAAAGGTGGATGATAGAAATTTATGTAGAAATTGAGTGTTATTGTGTTCAGGGTTTCTGTGGATTTTTAAAAGTCTTATATAGCTTTTCAGTGAATTAAGACATCGAATAGATCATAAGTCAAAGCACCAAGTCCTAAATTAATAGGATCATGGCATACACTTTTTTATTTATTTATTTATTTAATTTATTTATTTATTTTTGTGGGGAATTGTTTTGCGTCTAGATTGAGAATAATCATTATCATCATTGGTGCCTTTAGTGTTCACCATGCCTGAATATGAGCTGTATTACTACTACATTCAGGACACTATTCAGAGATGGGATTGTACCTTATAAATACTGATTTCCCTGCATTTGTAATTCTGTTGAATGCGCTGTTTATAATACAGTGATAAGGTGTAGTCCTATGATGCTTAAAAATAAATAAATAAATAAATAATTTTTGGTGTCGATATGCTGATGTAAAAGGCATTGGCAAGTCACTATGATATCACTGTGATTAAATAAAGTTTTAGGTCATATTTTTGCTGTTATCAGGGTTTGCGTTTTTCTGAGGTAAACTTTTTTTATTTACATTACATTATGGATACACGTACTGTATGAGCACATAATCAAGCTACTAACACTAAACCAAACATTTTGTCAATATAAAACACTGAATATACTATTCAGATACAACTACAGTTACATACTTTATGTCAAATGAATTTACAACAAGCCTTTATTAATAGTTTGGGCTAGCTTTTGCAACTGGGCATTGCTTTACAGTGACATTGATGGGTGAACATTAGCCAGTGGGGTAGTGTCTTTTGTCTCTCCAGGTGTGAATTATTCTTTGGCATTGTCACTACCACGCATACAACAGTGCTGACCCAAAAACGGACTTCACAAAATTTAAATTACATGTATTCTTTGAATTAGAGAACAGAATAATTTTCACAATATTGTGAAGTAAATATTGTAGCCTACAAGAAGGGCTACTGAAAAATCTTGTTCGCTGTGTTTTTTTTTTTTTTTGGGTCCTTATTTTAGCTACTTTTTTTTCTCCAGATGCTAGAGGCCATGGTCTATAGCCTCATTGTTAGAGCAACCGACTCCCAAGCAAAGATTCATGCACAGGTTCAATTCCAGCTCAGACCGTGTTGGGTGCAGTTGGAATAGTGGGTTGCATAAGGGGGCTTGTCCATAATTGGAGTGAGGTTTAGGGTGGTGAGTGTAACAGAGGCCTGCTAGTGAAGTGCTTTGCAGGTAAACCTCACTCATCTGAATAAAGGTGCACTAAAGCGCTATAAAGGTGCTTTGCTGACAGACGCTAGCCATGGCCTTTAGCTTCCTTGTAAGAACAACCGACTGCCATGCAAAGAATTACCGGTTTCATTCTAGTTCAGACCGTGTTGGGTGCAGTAGGACTAGTGGGTTACATGTGGGGGTTCGTCTGGGATGGGAGTGAGGTTTAGGGGAGTGAATGTAACAGAAGCCAGCTAACGAAGTGGTATGCAGGTAAACCTCACTCCTCTGAATAAAGGTGCACTAAAGCGCTATAAAGTTGCTTTTATTGACAGATGCTAGAGGCCATGGTCTTTAGCCTTCTTGTAAGAGCAACCGACTCACATGCAAAAGAATCACCAGTTCGATCCCAGCTCAGACTGGGTTGGGTGCAGTAGGACCGGTGGGTTAAATATATGCATATTTCTAAAATTTGCAAGCATGTACATCCATCTGTCTCACATATTATTGTAGAACAGTTTTTCCTATGTACAAAAATACATATTGACCAATAGGTAGCTGAAATATGCACAAATATCAGGGCATGTAGAAACCTTTTAGGGGCCCCAAAATCACCTCAGACCCCAGAAGGTTAAAAAAAAAGTTCTAATTAATTGTAGGCCTATTATAAACACAAGCTTTGAAGTGTTCCACTTTCTATAATATGTTGGTCTAAACGTATTGATGTAATTTTTTTTATTTTATTT